GCAAAAATTATGAATATTCAGTTTTTATTGAAAAAAAATTTTGTCCACAAAATTATACTCTACTTCTTTGCAATATTTTTACTTAGTATTATTTATATTTTAGAATATCTAATACATTTTTATTAGTAAATCTTAGGGAAAAACATCTTAAAATTTTAATTTCCAGTGAAATTTTCAAAAAAATTACATTCATTTACAATTTTTGAATAAATTTACAATTTTAGAATCCCTTTTCTTGTCCTCAACTGTGTAGTGTATCTACCACTACAAAATTATAATTCCAACTCACTAGTATATAAGACGTGTTAACTCAATTTTATGATGGAGTACCTTTTCATAGATAAGGGTTGACATTGAATGTAACTATCATCCCTACATTGGTGACTTGGACGTGATGTGAACATGCCTACCTTGACAGTAACACCCACTTGGATATGAGCATGCTTATCTTGACAGTAACTCGATTCTATGTTGGGGTACCTTTTCATAGATGAAGGTTGACATTGTCGATAACAAATTGCCTCACATTGGTGACCCGGACGTGATGTGAACACACCTACCTTGACAGAAACTCCCACTTTTGGAACATGCCTACTAAGATGGGTGGTCCAAATTAGACAGTTGACTTGCTGCTTGTGACTACGACATTATCCACCTCCTTGTGCTGTTGCTACTCAGTCTCAATCACCCACAATGTCTGTCTGTATACACTCGACTGTGAATGGCAACAGAGGAGCAACCATGACCCTGAACTTAATACAGCTCTCACGTTCTGCACTAAAAAGTATGATGATCTTAACTATCCCGATCAGCACTCAAAAGTACGGTGATCTTAATACAGCTCTCCCTGCTTCTCACAAAACCGCAATGAATCAACTAGTGGTATCTGTTCTTTAAATTCTATCACAGATATATTTCTTGTGAGGGAGTAGTGTAGTGTATCTACAACTGGGGAAACTAGTCCGGATCCCACTTCAGTGACAACTTCTCTTCAGTAGCTCCTGAATAAATTTCTAAAAACCATCAAATACTGGTATTTCCTCTTTAAAGTTTATGAAAATTAACATGTAATCCCTCAAGGCATCTCTGATGAGTCTTTTTCGGCCTCTGGAGAGGTTTATTTTCCATTAATGAAAGTTTAAAATCCGATGCTCCATTGATTTAGGCTTAGAGTACCAGACCGTCAATTTTCTACCGCCATTGAATGCAAGCGCATTTTATCGATAACTTTGGCTTCTTCTAAAAGTACTTTTTCCAACTTATTTTTCAATTTTAAACATTTCTTTGCAATAAGCCATGCGATTCTTCACTAAATTTATAATGTTAATAAATTTCCGTAGTCTGGTTAAAAATTTTCATAGGTATCTTTCTAAACAATGACATGATCTCGGAATAGGTTTTCGCTATGTCAATGTTCGCCATTTTGTAAACGTTGACTTTGAGCACTTTAATTAACTTTTTAATGTTAATATTTTTATTTTATTTTTTATTATGTACATATTTTTAATTGTTTATGATTTAACGACATATCTCTCATTGATCCTGTGGTTTTATATTAATTTTCAAACATATATCACTTTTCCATTATAATTAGGTATTGTTCTATTCTCCATAACAATATCAAAACAAATCATATGATGTAATATTCAGTTAAATTTGTCTATTCAGTTTCATCACCCGCTTGACCCAATAATTTATTAAATATTTATATTAAATCTTTAATGTTTTTTTTATTTGTAATCTTAAATAACTTTTATCTTGTATCAATATCAAATTAAATTTTTATATTTTCATTAAATACTTATTTTCTGTTCCACATACACTTGTTCAATGTCTTTTCAAGTTCATTTTAATAGGATAGGATTCATTTTTTTGACATTTTATTTGTTTAATATTAAAATCAATATATACTTATGTCATCTTTTAATTTTTATAATACATAGTTTAGTGCAATGCCATTTCCACATTCTACAAATATGTAGAGGTTGTAACTTTAATTATTTTGATTTCATATGCTCATTATTAAAATATTACTGTTTACATTTTAATTATATTCATCTTCATCCCACATATGCTTGTACAATGCCTTTTCGAATAGCAATATATAGCTTAGGGCTTTGCATGTTTCTATATATTTTCTTCTTATAAAACAACCTCCAACATCAATCATTTTCGGCAGTGACTATCCCTGGCCAAATGAATTATTGCTCTAGTATATATGTATTGTCGTTTTAATTTAATGTTTGACTCTGCATAAGCTTTAACATAGCGATTGCTTAATTAAATTAATTAATCTAATTCTTAAATAGTATTTTTCATTCTTACCATTCCCTGGTCAAACAAAAGGTATTATCAATGCAAAATCACAGACTAATGTTTTATTATAATTGTAAGCATCTAGATTAACATTGCATCATTTTTTCAATGTTTGTTTAACCAAACACAACTTAGCTTTTTCTTCTTCTACTTTCACATAGGTTGGGGTCAATATCTTTAAATATCATTGCTCCCACTAATTGATAACTTTTACTAATTGATACATACTAAGCCCAGTTAATTTTTCAAATAATTTTATTCATCATAGGTTAGGATAATTGCTTTCTAACCTAGTACATCATTAGTTAATCTAATAATTAACGTAGTTGAATATAGTAAAATTTGCCAGTGTCGCCGTCTATAAAATCAATAATGATATCGAATATATCTTCAGACTCGCTCCGATTTCAAGACCCTCAGTTTCGCCTTATCTGCAATTTTTCAGTAATTTTCAAAATTAACCGTATGCTCTGAAGAGAGTTAAGCACAAATTTTTCAAAGTTCTATTTCTCATACTGCTCCGACCACCTGACCCAATCTTGCTATTTTCCTTATTTCCATGTTACTTTAATCTAGATATCCATTTTTGGACGGTGACACTGGCAAATCAGCAAATCAATAGAGCATCGGATCCTCTCTTAAATTACATACGTTTATAATAGAACTCTTCTGGGGGGGGGGGTTGCTCGCCATCGCCACATAAAAATCCGATTACTTTAAATAATACATAGCTCCCCTTCTATCTTTTTTAAAATTCTTTTTTTATGTAATGTTTCTAAAAAATAACGGATAAACACCTAACAATTTAAGAAAAAAAAGAATGGAAAGACATATATCTTCAGAACTAGGCTGGGGCTCACCCAACGTTACCACTAGGTCTCGAATCAGAAATGAAAGAATCTTCACATAGACCTCAGACAAACAATCAACAAAAATAACAAGACTAAGCAATAGTATAATTATGTCAAATAGAGAACAAATGGAAACAACCACACCTTTGAGAGCAATAAGCTGTACATCATCAACGCAATCCTACCAAACAGAGGCACAAATTCTGGAAGAATTTGAAGAGAACGAAGAAGACTCATCAGAAACTCCGCAAGAAACAGCCCAGGAGGAAACAACAGAGACAAAATCACCAGCACCATCTGAATATGAATTATCCCATATTAAAAAACTGTTCAACACTCTGGAAATCAACATAAACAACCAACATGGTCACGAAAAGAAAATGTGCAGCCTCCCATCAGCACAGAGAAAAGCTTGCCACGAAGCTCTTCGACAGTTAAAACAAATTATGGACAACTCAAATGTTCAATTATTCTGCCATCCGAATATCACCATCAACTCTATAGGCGATAGCTTGAAAGCCGTATCAGACAAATTAGATCATATAAATCATGCCAATCCTGGTAACTGCGATAATGTTCAACCACAACTTCCTCCAAAGCCTGTCATCATCCCAGCTATGGAAAATTGTCCAACTAATGTCATTCTGGAAAAAATTACTAAAACCAACTCGAAACTACATGTCAAGAAGATCTTCAAAAACAGCCATCTTGTGGAATTGAAATTCCATAATGATCATCAAAAAGACATAGCTCTCCAAACTATACATGAGACTGGTTTACCGTATGTTGAAAAAGAAAGACGGTTACTCTCTCTGATAATCCTTAAGCACCATTTGATTGCAACGTGGGCGAGATCCTAGAACTTATAAAAGAAAACGGTACTTACAACAACAATGTAGACATCATTCAATTCATAAAAACCTTGCCGCACAAACATCAACAAAGCAAACAACACATAGTAAGAGCCTCGCATCGTATCGCAATTCAACTTCTCAAACTTCACTATTGTTTCGCAGGATTAAATAAATGTTTCATAAAAAAACGAATAGTACTTCAACGATGTCGTAACTGCCAAACACTAGGACATCATCAGAACCAATGCCAGCAAGTATTTCCCACGTGTGCTAAATGTGGTATAAACGGTCACATGGATGAAAACTGCGACTCAACCGAGGACTTATGTATAAACTGCTCGGACTCGAATAAACAGTCCGATTCCCGACATGACTGTACCCATAAAGCCTCCCACTCTACTTGTCCCCGTTACCAATCAGAACTTCAACAACTTAAAGCCAACTACAACTTCAATTTCAACTTTTAGGCGAAATTTATCTTTCTTCATATTTATTTACTTATTTTCCATTCAATACATATCCATTTTACAGATTTTCTACTTTAGTCATTTTTGCTTATTTATTTTTTTAATTTTCTGATTTTTCTCTTATATGTTATTAACTTGTACTATATTTAATCTTTGCATTTTTTAAAACATTGTGACTTTGTACATATCTGAATTCTCAATAAATTCTTGCTGACTGGGCTCGTTCCTAGGCTGGTGTGGAGCCGGACCAGTAGCCAAGCTTTGGGCTTCATGGTAAAGGGTCCATAATGACCTAGGCACATGTCCAAAGCTTGGCACTTGTCCAAAGCACTAGTATATAAGACATGTTAACTTGATTCTATGGTGGGGTACCTTTTCATAGATGAGGGTTGACATGGTCAATAAATACTCTCCCCACAAACTGTAATTAAACTTTGTTAAATACTTCAACATCACCCTATAAGTTCTAAATGACAAAGTATCTTTGTATAGAACTTAGTTTTCTTTTTTAGCTGAATTTAGAGAAACAACAAAGAGAGCAAGAAAAATTAAGACAATTGCAGACTGAGAAGGCTGAAGCTGCCCATGAAGCAGATAAAATTGAATCTCTACATTTAACGGAACAAGCAAAATGGTCCAACACTATTGAATCCAAGATATCTGAATTAAATACTGCTGATAGTGAGGTCAGTACAATATTCTGTACAGAAATGACTTGATTTTTTTTCATTTGTACCAATTTTAATTCTAATTATATAATTATTAAAATTCTGAAAGTTTTTGGAAATTATCCAAAAACAATATTTTTATCGATCCCTTTTTTCTGGCTTATTCTGCCATTTTCTTGTATTTTGGAGACATATTCTTCATAGATAAATAAATAATTTGTTTGTATATAAATAAACTTAAATGAAGAAAGTTCATTGTAGTAATATACATGGTGTATAGTATTTTTTAGAGGTGCTTATCTTCGATTTTCGGTTTTTAAAAACCCTTAAAGGTGTTTTTTCCAATGGTGTTTTTAAAAAGTGCTTATTTTAATCAAGAAAATAAATTAATATAATCAAGAAAAGAGTTCTTTGTCAGAAACTAGTTATTTTATCATGATCATGTNAGGCTTTTTATATTACACTTTTAAGAAGAAACAAAACAGGTTTAAATAACTACATATATCTAGCTGTATTTAGTTATTTCCTTTTGTATTTTATTTTCACTATTTTCTTGCTTTATCTATTTCTTTACTCTGTTTTTTAAGTTTAAAATCAATAAATATGAAGATGCAAAGTATAACAATTTTTGTTATACCTATCATTTCAATGAATGTTATTATAATGCTTTTTTAAATTTATTGTTCTGTTTTTGTCGGAGAAAATAGTAACTTTGGTAAGTCATGAAAATTTTTTGGTATTATTCATGAAAAGTCATGGATTTAAAAATCTAAAATGTAGCAGATACCATGTATGTAGAACTTCTTTTAAGGAATTCTTCATGACTTAAAAACGATATAAAATGATTTAAATTACTTACAAATAATGGTGGCCAAGGTAATTTAAAATGAAGCCAAAAGTGGAATATTAAGGAGTTGGCAGCTCGCTTATTTGAATGTGCAAAAAGAAGCTACTAAACCTAAGATTGCAAAAGTTTCAGAATGTTCAGTTTTTATAGAAAAAAAAAATTTGTCCACTAAATGATACTCTACTTCTTTGCAATATTTTTACTTAATATTATTTATATTTTAGAAAATCTAATACATCTTTATTAATAAGTCTTAGGGGAAAACATCTTAAAATTTTAATTTCCAATGAAATTTTCAAAAAATTACATTCATTTGCAATTTTTGAATAAATTTATTATTTTAGAATCCCTTTCCTTGTCACCAACTGTGTAGTGTATCTACCACTACAAAATTATAATTCCAATTCACTAGTATATAAGACATGTTAGCTCAATTTTATGGTAGGGTACCTTTTCATAGATGAGGGTTGACATTTATTGTAACTATTATCCCCACATTGGTGACCTGGACGTGATGTGAACATGCCTACCTTGACAGTAACACCCACTTCGATATGAACATGCTTATCTTAACAGTAACTCGACTCTATGTTGGGATACCTTTTCATAGATGAAGGTTGACATTGTCGATAACAAATCTCCTCACATTAGTGACCCGGACGTGATGTGAACACGCCTACCTTGACAGAAACTCCCACTTTTTAAACATGCCTACTAAGATGGGTGGTCCAAATTAGACAGTTGACTTTCTACTTGTGACTACGACATTATCCACCTCCTCGTGCTGTTGCTACTTAGTCTCGATCACACACAATGTCTGTCTGTATGCACTCGACTGCGAATGGCAACAGGATAGCAACCATGACCATGAACTTTATACAGCTCTCACGTTCAGCACTCAAAAGTGCAGTGATCCTAATACGGCTCTCCCGGCTTCTCACAAAACCACAATAAATCAACTAGTGGTATCTGTTTTTCAAATTCTATCACAGATATATTTCTTGTGAGGGAGTACTGTAGTCTGTCTACCACTACAAAAATATAATTCTAATTCACTAGTATATAAGACATGTTAACTTGATTCTATGATGGGGTACCTTTTCATAGATGAGAGTTGACATGAACACAAACTGTAATTAAACTTTGTTAAATACTTCAACATCACCCTATAAGTTCTAAATGACAAAGTATCTTTGTATAGAACTTAGTTTTCTTTTTTAGCTGAATTTAGAGAAACAACAAAGAGAGCAAGAAAAATTAAGACGATTGCAGGCTGAGAAGGCTGAAGCTGCCCATGAAGCAGATAAAATTGAATCTCTACATTTAAAGGAACAAGCAGAATGGTCCAACACTATTGAATCTAAGATATCTGAATTAAATACAGCTGACAGTGAGGTCGGTATAAAATTCTGTACAGAAATGACATGTTTTTTTGTTTTTTGTTTTCATTTTTACCAATTTTAATTCTAATTATATAATTATTAAAATTCTGAAAGTTTTTGGAAATTATCCAAAAACAATATTTTTATCGATCCCTTTTTTCTGGCTTATTCTGCCATTTTCTTGTATTTTGGAGACATATTCTTCATAGATAAATAAATAATTTGTTTGTATATAAATAAACTTAAATGAAGAAAGTTCATTGTAGTAATATACATGGTGTATAGTATTTTTTAGAGGTGCTTATCTTCGATTTTCGGTTTTTAAAAACCCTTAAAGGTGTTTTTTCCAATGGTGTTTTTAAAAAGTGCTTATTTTAATCAAGAAAATAAATTAATATAATCAAGAAAAGAGTTCTTTGTCAGAAACTAGTTATTTTATCATAATCATGTAAAGTCCTTGAAAATTATTTTGCATTTTATTAATGTATGCAATGCTTAAAAAGTACTTAAAAGGTGCTTATTTTTTGTTGAAAGATTTGGCTACACACCCTGATACAGCTGCTGAAAAAAGTTGGGGGTGTCTTGTACAAAATAAAAACAGAATTTCCCCTAATTTACCTAGGAAGACAAGTGTTGCCTATTTTTGACAGGTCATAATTAGTATCACATAGCAGCCATTTGTGTGGGAGTCGTTCCATGAATGCATTCTTTGTGCGCACCAGTCCCGCAGTGGACTGATCGTTAAGACACGGTTCCCATCAGATCACCGAAGTCAAGCATCACTGGCTGCGGTCAGTGTGCGGGTGGGTGACCACTTGGATCAGTCTGCGTAGGGACCGAGGGTGTGCGGTATTGGTCCTCGTTAAACTGTGCTACCGTAAAGTGCTCGACTTCGCGTGCAGGTCGTCGGGCTACCGAAGCGGGGGTCCCATTCCCTCTGCAAAGGATCAAAATTGTGATGGCATGTCTTCGGATCATCCTCAGGGATGTTTCCCAGACCGTCGCCAATAGCCCATTGTGCAGCTCTAGTGCGACGTAAATGAACAACAACAACTTGTGCGCACCAGATTGAAATATATTGGTAATCTGGATATTTCTCATTCTGGTGTCTGAGCATTTTAATTGGATATCCTCATGGTCGATTCACCCAGGCTTGGTGTAGGGGGAAAAAAAGATGAGAGTTCTTCTGTTATACTAAAAATTTCATTAAAATTGTAGTTATATTTCCATAGCTGCCAACTCTACTGGACTTTGCCAGTTTCTCCTGGTCTACTGGTTTAATAAAAAATCACCTGGTTTTTTTAGATTTTAGAAAATTCCCTAAAATTGTGAGTAAGTTTCCTAAAAATAATCCCTATTGAAATAAAATTTTTAGACAGATTATTATTGCTTGCTTGAATGCTTAGATAAGTATTACTAATACATAATGAAGCGAGCCTGATTTATAAAAGTCGATTAAGAACCTTTAATTTTGTTCTAAAATGTTCAGTTTATTTTTTATTCAGAACTTTTTAAATTGATTTAAAAAATCTTTTAACTGTCGTTGATGAATTCAATACATATTAATATTTAAAATTATGAGTAAACATAATACATAACATAATCAAGCTCATTTATAGTTAATCAAAACAGGAAAATTTGACAATCTTTCTATTTTGATGACTATAAAAATCCCTAAAATTCCTTATGTATACAATATTTAATACATTATGAAGCAATTATCATGAAATTTATATTATATTGCGAAATCTCCTGGTTTTTTTTCTTATCCATATCCATGTTGTCAGCTATGTATTTCTAAAGTTTTAGAATTATTCTTATAAAAGATGAGAGTTTTGTTACACTAGAAATCTACAAAAATATACTAGAAATCTATAGAAATTTCAATTTACTTTTAGCTTAACAGATGACACTAAGAAATAAAACTTTACAAACTGATAAATGCGTTTTACAAACAATCCCAATGTTTACTTTTATGATGTTCTTGTATTTTTTTTCTTCTTTCCTTTCAGAGTAAGAAACTAGAAATGGAGAAGGGCATTTTATTGGAGCATTTGGAAACTTTATTCTCATTGAAGCGTAGGAGGGATGCTGTGAGAGACATACAGAGGAAAGCTTGCCAAAAGTAAGTTATGTGAGACAGTGGTCCCTAAATTATTCTGAGCTGTTGCTCCCCTGAGTTTAGTTTAGTGTTTTTATCATTTCCCTTTTCAAAACATATTTATACTGTATTCATCCAGATTTTTGAAATTTATTAATACGTTTTTAAGAACATAAATTAAGTTACAAAATTATTGTAAATTTTTATGCATGCTCCAATGCGAACTAATTACTTAAGCAAAATAAATTGTTAGTACTTTAATCTTAAATTATTAATATATATATATTAGTGTACCAAGCATGCTTGGAAACTACATAGGGGAATCTGCGTCGGGCTGACCACCCAACTGGAACATCTGTTCTTCCACTCCAAAGGTCAAGAAAACTGAGATAGGCACAGTAGACCTTGGCCCTCGATGGGCTGTCGCGCCACTGAGATTAGTTTAGTGTAGCAAACCAGTATTTTAAGTCACTTTTTGTTTAATAAGATGATTTTTTTCTTCTTTTGTTAATTTTTTAGTACAGGGAATTGTATTCACAAATAAGGTAGATCACTTTTAACTTTTAATCTATTTATTTAAGTTGTTTTCATTTGTAACGAGAAGACCTTACTTTTCAAGGAAAGTTGACACAAATGAAAACAACCCCTTATGAATAAGTACTAATTTCTCTTGGAACATGTCTTTTACTCGAGCATCATATTTTTGAACCATGAAGTTTATCATGCAAAACAATAATAGGCAACAAACTATACGTTTTTTGAACTAAATTTAACTTCTCATCAGATAGTTCAGGATTTTCCAAAAATACAGAAGCATTAGAAATCAGACTGACCTCCCATGAAACTGAAATTATTTCATTTAACTTTATGATTTATTCAATTATTATATCAATATTCAGATTATTAAATTTTGATTCGTAAGCTTCAAAACATCAGTCTTTTCTGAATATAATCAGCTCTCTTTAGTGGTAGAAGTTGTGTTTTTTAATTTTTTCATAGTTTACCCAATTATTATTTTTTTTACAATAAATAATCTAATTTTCTGACATGTTGGGCATCAAATTCTGTTGAATGACCCTAAACTTTTATGGTAAAAAATAACATTAAAAGTACCATAAATTTTTACAAATGAAAGATTTGTGCTGTTTAGAAGAAATTCAGGTCCGTTAACGGACCCTTAACAAAATATATTTTCATAAAAACGAACCCTTCACAAAATAATTTATCTTTTAATCGGACCCTTCACAAATTTGTTTATCTTCAATATTGTTTTGTTAATCAAATAAACCCTTCCCGGGGGGGGGGGGGGAGAGACNAGGGGAATCTGCATCAGGCTGACCACCCAACTAGAACATTTGCTCTTCCACTCCAAAGGTCAAGAAAATTGAGATGGGCACAGTAGACCTTGGCCCTCGATGAGCTGTCGCACCACTGAGATTAGTTTAGTGTAGCAAATCAGTATTTTAAGTCACTTTTTGTTTAATGAGATTTTTTTTTTCTCTTTTTGTTAATTTTTTAGTTTACGGAATTGTATTCACAAATAAGGCAGATCACTTTTAACTTCTAATCTATTTATTTAAGTTGTTTTCATATGTAGCGAGAAGACCTTACTTTTCAAGGAAAGTTGACACATATGAAAACAACCCCTTATGAATAAGGACTAATTTCTCTCTTTTACTCGAGCGTCATATTTTTGAACCATGAAGCTTATTCTGCAAAACAACAATAGGCAACAAACTGTATGTTTTTTAAACTAAATTTAACTTCTCATCAGATAGTTCAGGATTTTCCAAAAATACAGAAGCATTAGAAATCAGACTAACCTCCCATGAAACTATGAAATTATTTAATTTAACTTTATGATTTGTTCAATTATTATATTAATATTCAGTTTATTAATATTCAGTTTATTAAATTTTGATTCATAAATTTCAAAACATCAGTTTTTTCTGAATATAATCAGCTCTCTTTAGTGGTTGAAGTTGTGTTTTCTAATTTTTTTCATAGTTTACCGAATTATTATTTTTTACAATAAATAATCAAATTTTCTGACATGTTAGGCATCAAATTCTGTTGAATGACCCTAAACTCATATGGTAAAAAATAACATTAAACATACTATTAATTTTTACAAATGAAAGATTTGTGCTGTTTAGAAAGTAGAAAAATATATCGTATTACATCACCATAGGGTCTGTTTTGAAGAAATTTAGGTCCATTAACCAGGGTTTGTTGATTTAAATCACGATTTAAATCAAATTATTTTTTTGAAAACATCATTGATTTAAATCAACTGATTTTTTTTTATCTATACGTATATATTGATAATTTGAAAGTTAAAAAACAGTGTTTTAAATTATTGATACTTTTATAATTTTCTTTTCTTAGTTTTAAGATTTATTTTAAATAAATTGCTGCATTAATTAATTTTAGTTCACGAAATTTTCTTTCTTGGTGTGTGCTAAATTCCAACACATTTGAAATTCTTTTGATTCTTAAGATTGAAAATATAGATTAGAGTACACATTTAATGCTGCCTTAATATAGACTTGCATAGCTGTAGCAAGTAGTAAATAACCATGAATTTTTTTTCAAAAAAAATGCAAATAATGTTAATTAAAATCTACATTATAATATTTTATTGATGGAAAATGTGGAGTTATATTAAAAAGAAATTACCCTAATATGCCAAAAATGGAATGAAAAAAAAGGCTGATGAATTCAGATATTTTTTTTCCTGATATGGTGTCATTTTTCCGTTTCAAACTCTTTCAAAGTCTATTTGAAGCAGCAGAGTTATTAACTGGTAACTATTTTTTTTTCTCATAATATGTTTGCAGTATCTTTGACTTTATCAGATTTTCTATTAAGAAATTTTGTGGAAAAAAAATCCCAATGAGTACATAGATTTTTTTATATTTTTTTAGCTTAACTTATCTATTTTGATATAGGATTAAAAATGATATTTTAATATAAAAATATATAGATTAAATATTTATTTATTTTTTGATGAATGACTACATTTATAAATACAATCTATTACATTTATTTTGTCATATTAAAAATCAAGAGAAAAAAAAATCACAATTTTAAATTAAAATAATGGTTTGCTAATTGAAACTTTGTTGTAATAGTTAAAGAACAGGGGTCTGTCCAAGCCAAATTTACTACTGCTTAGCAGTACCTTCACAATATACTTTTTTTTTTAAATTTTATTTTTGTGTCTCTTAAGATACGATAAATCCATATTTTTGTGTTGATTTCTTAATATACTTTTTAATTTTCACAAATTATGTCTAAATTTTCACAAAATAAGTAGCTCTCAGAAAAACTTAGACATACCCCTGAAGTATTCTTTAAATTCTTTATTTCATCTAGTCTTTAAATTTCAATCTTGCATTTGTTTCAAAATGGTTGCTATGCATTCAAAGCTATGTATTATAATGAAAAATTATTTTAGTAAGTTAGAGCTTCTAAAATATTGTTATAATATAGTTTTAATATTAACTTAATTTTGATTAAACATTTATAAAGTTTTTTTAATCATGAATTAAAGTTCTTAGAAAATATTTGAATAAAAATCAAAAAAATCTGATTTAAATCAAAAAAATCTGATGTTTTTGATTTTTTTTTTTAAAAATCAAAAAAAATCACGAACCCTTAACAAAATATCTTTTCATAAAAACGGACCCTTCACAAAATAATTTATCTTTTTATCGGACCCTTCACAAAATAATTTATCTTTTTATCGGACCCTTCACAAATGTGTTTATCTTCAATATTGTTTTGTTAGACAAATAAACCCTTCCCTGGGGAGAAAGACTGCTCCAGACAAACTAAGTTTCCCTAAGTTTAAGTTCCAAATGTAGTATTCTAAGAAAATATTTCTATATTTACAAACATCGTGTGCACATTCTTATTGATCTTAAACGAAAATTTTTTTTTTCTAAATAAATAATTGATCAATTTATATTTATTCATAAAATTAATAGAATATTATGTAAATAAAATTTAATTTCTGGCAATTTTTTAAATTAAATATTATAAATTTTAGAATTGTTTAAGTTTACTTAATGCATAATGCATTAAAAGTGATGCATTACTAAGTTGTGTTATTTAAAATATGCCTCAATTGAAATTATTAAAAATGTGAGTGATTTTGTTTCCATTATTTGTCTAGAATAAATATTCTGTGTTGAGCAGTATAGGCTAAATACCAAATATTTGTATGGTGCATCTCTAATTTAGTAGCAGCAATTGTTGAGCAGAATCTTGTATCTACTTACAATTTAAAAACTTATTGAAAAGGTTTTCAGCAATTTTTGCAATAACATGACACTATTTGCACAAATTCACAAAAGCATGACCCTGGTTGAAAGAAGGTGACTTAATGCTTATTTTATATTCTCAAGTTATGAGTAGTTTCTCGCAATTTTACGAAAACAGGACCTTTTACAAAATGTCTGGACAGACCCCTGATCACAGTAGCAAATTAGAAGTAAGGTTTATGTTAGATTTTTATGTTTTCTTGTTGCTTTTAACATATTTTTCCATTTCATGTCATTCAGTGGATGTTATTAAGACTCTAAAACAGGGTTTCTTAACCTGTGGTTCATGAACCCCTAAGGGGTCCATGAGTTATATTTTGGGGGTCCGCTGACTACTCCTAATTTTTAAAACGTTTGGAAGCCTACCCATTGCTTGTAAAACGAATTATGGCAGCTATAATTCCGTTTGCTACAGTGTATCTTTGCGAAGCGGGATTTTCCACAATTGTGATAATAAAAACATAACATCGAAATCGATTGAATGTTGAACATGATATGCCCGTTTGCTTTGTTGAAAACCATCCCCCAATTCAATTTGTTAAGTAAGGAAAAGCAGCAGCAACCTTCATATTTAAAATTTTAATTTTAAAAATTTTGTATACTATTAAAATAATAAAATTAAATGTTTTCTAATAATTGACGTTTTTTGCAATTATTTTTTTCACAGGTCTGTGACTTCTTAAAAATTATTAAAAGGGGTCCATTATATCTAAAAGGTTAAGGAACACTGCTCTGAAAACAATTGCCACTTCTGATTATCTTCTAATATAAAAAAAAACTTATGAATCTGTTTCATATTAAATATTTTTATTTATCTTGGCAGGAATGCTATTGATTTCGTACAATTTACTCATTTATTAAAAATAACTATGTGAAATCCTTCACCTTTATTCATCTTATTATTTTATAAAAAATGAGGAATCTCTATATTTTTTTTTTCAGAATACAGACTCTCTATCAGCCCAATGAAAAAATGAGGAAAATGTTGACTGAAGTAAAACACGGCTTGGTATAAAATCATTTATTTTTCTATATAATTTTCATATTAAGTGGATATTAAAAAAATTTTAATTGTTTTTTGTTGTGATATCATTATACTTATTTTTTCTTTTCTTGCAAGTGGGGAAGAATCTTTAAAAAAAATGAAATCATTTCACATAATATTTCTTAATAATTAACCTTTTATTTAACACTCTAATTTCTTTAAATGTCTTGTTTTACATGGCTGCTGAAATATATTTAAAAAAACATTGACATTTATTTTGAAATTATTCTATAACCAGTAGTTTTCAAATAAATTGAGTCCACCTTTCTGTAGAATAAAGTGAGTTTTTAAAGGGATTTTAAAATGGAATATTTATTGGTTGATAAGAAATTGACAGTTTGGATCAAAATAGAGTGTTAGTTTATAAAAACATGAGTTTTATATGCCTATAAAAATATAATTTATTAGTGTCTTTCTTTTTGTATGTTTCTTTATATTAGTTCAATAGTGTTTTGAATTAATAAATTTGTCCGCCATTACTATTTTTATAAGAGTGTAATTCTATGCATTTAGAGGGATGTTTGTTTACATTACAGTTTCTTAAAAATAATGATTCAATGGGTCTGTTCAGGGTAAATTTACTACCGCTCAGCAGTACCTTCACAAATTCAACTTTAGGAAAAACGGTAGTTTCAGAAAATACTTTTAAAAAAGCAAGTTCTCATGTATACCCCGTTCTCATTGCAATCTATAAAAAAGTAAAGCTTTTATGCTAACTGTCTTTTACGAAAAGGTAGCAGGTATTTGTTCAGATAGGGCAATGTGGTAAGCCTAACAGGTTGCTTACGCCATTTCAAAGCTAGTTTTTTCCCCCGCTGAGTTTTTAAAAGTGAAACGACGAGGCTCTCCCTCTATAAACTGTACAGAAAATTGAAATTCAAACATAATCTTAAACACTATTGTAAATTTATTCTAACAGACCTTTATTTTTTATGAGGCATTTTTTTCTCTGAGAAACTTTTTTCTGTATCACATAGTTGAAAATGTTCTCATAATGAAAATAACTTTAAGTGCAAGTACTGTTAAATGCAAATTTTTTTTAAATTTGAGTTAAAATTTAACCATGGACAATTGTTTTATGGATTTTTAAATTTAGATACAATTTTAGGTCCAAACTTTTACAATAGAAAAATTATTTTTTAATATATGGGGAAAAATAAATAAAAATTTACCTGTCTTAAATGCTTTTTATCTGTAGTGGCAATTTTTGAAAATATCTTCTTACATTACCATATTTTTGCGTTGATATTTTAATAAAATTTTAATCTTCACAAATTATGTCTAAATTTTCACAAAATAGGTACCTCTCATAAAAACCTAAACAGACCCCTGAAGGTGCTTTGATTTTCGTCTTCTAAAAGCCCTTAAAGGTGCTTTTTACGTGGGGTGTTTTTAAAAAGTGCGTAGTTTTCCCTTTTCGAAACTGAGAATTTTTTCTCTACCCTGTCGATTTTCGCCACACTTTGCTTTTCACGTTGTTCTATTCAACGTTTTTACAATTCATTCCACCACAATCCATTTTGGCTTACATTCGGTTCATAGCGTTTAAAAGTGCCAATCATTTTATACGTTTGATTAAATACCTGAGAGTCCGCAAGTGTGTCTACTGAGCTGGATTCAGTGACATTTTTACACCTGATGTGCAACTCTGCTGCATTTTGCAAGATATTCTCTATTTCAAGCTTCATTTTCCACCCTCTGATATCGAACCAAAAAATATCTCGATCATTTTATAATGGTTAATATAATCAACAAAATAATTATTAGTCAGAAACTAGTTATTTTATTATGATCATGTAAAGTCTTGGAAAATTATTTTGCATTTTGTTAACGCATATAGTGCTTAAAAGGTGCTTATTTTTTCTGAAAAGATTTGGCTACGCACTCTGTATTATGCGGATATTAAAAAAATTGTAATTTTTTTTGTTTTGTTGTGATGGTGTTATACTTAATTTTTCTTTTCTTGCAAGTGGGAAAGAATATTTAAGATAAATAAATAAAATAATTTCACATAACTTTTCCCAATAATTAACCTTTTATTTAACTCTAATTTCTTTAAATGACTGGTTTTCCATGGCTGCTGAAATCTATTAAGAAAACATTGACATTTGTTGTGAAATTATTCTAAAACTAGTAGTTTTCAAGTAAATTTACCACATTGAGTCCGCCTTTCTATAAAATAAAGTGATTTTAAAAATGAATATTTATTGGACAATGAGAAATTAATACTTTGGAATCAAAATAGAGTGTTAGTTTATAAAAATATGAACTTTATATGACTACAAAAAATTTAATTTATTATTGTTTTCCTTTTGGTGTGTTTCTTTACATTAACTCAATCGTATTTTTACAAATTTGTCCACCATTACTATTTTTATAAGAGTGTAATTCTATGCATTTTGAAAGAGGGTTGTTTATTTAAAATACAGTTTCTTGGTTTATCAAATTGTACATGGATTGACTATGTGAAGAAATAAAACATTATGTTATCACAATTGCCATTAAAAAAATTTGTGCTGTTTAGGGTGATCATTTATAAAACTATTGTGATGCCACAATAGCATATTTCCTAGCTTTTAAAATTTCTTAAATTTGTTTATTTTTAATCATTCTTAATTGAATTTCAATTAAATTAAACCAATTATTTAATTTTTATTACATTTTATAAGAAGTGGATGTAAATTATTTTATTCTTTTCTTAACAATCAATGTAACAGCTGACTTTTTATTTCAGTACTAATGTAAGACTCATTAATAATTAATTATCATTTTAAACATTACATATTTTTTCTTATTAGTGTAAATTTTCCTACCAAAAGAAAACTGTTTTATTTCTATAAAATTCGATATAATTTTTGAAGAGATGCCTTGAATTAAAATGTAAAGAGATATAATTATTCCATTTAGGAATTTGACTATAAAATGCTTTCTGCAATGAGTGATCTAAATATCGATTTAGATGAAGTGATGGCAGCAAAAGAAAAAATTTCAATGCAGATTGCTCTTGAAAGAGAAAGGGAGCTGGAAATCCTCCAATTATACCAGTCAGTATTATATTTGTTCTTTATTAACCCTCCGCGTGTGGCTCAGTTTTTATACTTTCCTGTCTTGAAATACGGGGCGACTTTTTTTGACATTTTCTTTATCTATATATGTTACAATTTATCTTCTTCTTCTATTCTTTTAAAATAACACAAGAATTTAAATAGCTTTTGCATCTTCTAAAGATAGGTAATACGGCTCCCGCTATTTCAGAGGGCAGGGTTTATAAGTTAAAAAATTCGTGAGATATTTTTATTTTCAGATGGATATAATTTTTAAACATTTTATCTCGAAAAATGTTACAGAAATTTTGTAAAAAAAAACCAGAAAAGGTCAGATTTATGGAATACTTCCAATCCGAATCACTATCTTCATAATTAAGATACTTTCTTTGTTATTCCCACATATAACGCTGTTGACACTCTTCAAATCCATATCTTTCATAAAGGCTTATCCCGCGAACGAAAAACAAAGAGCATGCAAACTTACTAATACTAGGCGAAAAAAATCCAGCAAGATAGAAAAAATTCATGAACCCTTTAGTGCCATCTACCAGCAAAAATAAGCATCAAATGATGTTTTTTTTTTAACCTACACAGGTAAATAGCTGTATCAGTATTGAAACTAGGGGGGGAAATTCTTTGCCCGCGATATTAACTTGACCTGTAGTCAGGGACGAAGCTGATACCTCGTTTAGATTGCCAGAGCCGTACGCGGAGGGTTAAATATTCCGAAATATTATAAACATTTCAAAACTAACTGATAATAAAATCTAATGTATGATAATGTTTTTAATAATAAATGATTATGATATATTCTGAATGTAGAGCCAAATAATACCTGTACAATTTAGAAGTTGTTGTTTTTTTCCACTCACCATAACCTACTTTAATCTAAGTATAAATATATAATAGCATTAATTTATGTAAATCCAGTTTAATTGCCAATTAGAAATCTTGATTGAACTTAATGTAACTATTTTTAATTTAAGTATTATGTTAATAAGGTTAACTATAAATGAAATTTAAAGTTACAAGTGCAGAAATTAAAATTAATACTAATTAAGGTTTAGTGCCATAACTATGCAATTGAATTCACGGAAGCAAATTTATAAAGTTTATCTATCATATAAAAATCATGCAACTATTTTAACTTAAAATTTTATGTTAATAAGGTTAGGTACAATTTAAAGTTTTGAATTGATTCCTTAATTCTAGAGAAAAACCTTAAACCAAAAAACCTCTGATTTTCATTGGAAAAATGCTTTCCCATCAAAAGTTGCCCTTTGGCATTTGAGAACAGACGTTTTTTTAGTGACCCAGGAGTTATGTCTCACTTTCGGTAAATTTGGGCCCAAGTAGGTTTGATTCCTGACAGAATTATGATTCTATTCTTGTTGTGGTTGTCGTCGGCCATTAAGGCAGAAGAGGACCGATTGTTCTAGTTTTCCAGTGGCACCATTTGTGGCCAAGAATTTGACTTTTGCCATACCCATATGTCACACCCGTTTATAGGGGATATCCATTCATTCATCTACAGATCGTAATTTTAACCTGAACCAGAGAACAAATAATCTCCAATTCAGTGCCCCAGACGTATAATTTGTGATGGGAACATGGAGGACCTTGTGACCCAACAGATTCAGAGATGATTGTGCTTCGGAAAAAATCCGGATTTCTGGATATTTCGTGTACCGTGATCCGGAATCCAAGATACAGAATTTTCAAGAAATCATCGATCTCATTTTATGCATAAAAATTTTTTTATATTTTATTTAAACATATTAGAACTAAAATTTATACTTGGCATCTCTTTCATTTGAAGATATTTTTTCTGGTAGAGTATTAAATGTGATTAGAGATAAAAGTAAACTTATACATAATTATTAGTTTAAATTATGCTGCATATAATTTATTTATAATTTCATGTTGAGAAAATATCAATGATTTAATTTTATTAAGACATAAATTTTTTTTAATGCATTATTATTGATTTTACTCAAAATTTTCAGGATTTTTGAGTTGGGCTCATAATCTCCCCTGCAGATTTAATGTGCACCAGTCACAATTTACTACACGGGGAGTCTTCGGCAGGCTGGATTTGAACTCACGAATCTGAGTCCAGTGTCATGCCAACCAGGCCCTGTCAGGAAGATTTAGATAAGCAAACTTGAAATTTTGATTAGCAATCATAAATTTAAAATCATGAAGTCAAAAAACAATAATAATTTAGAAGATTTGTCTTTCTTTTTATGGTGAAATGCAGTACTGCAAAAAATATAACTACTCTAAAGTAATAAATTATTCAAAAAGTTTCAAACAAGTTTCTATAAGTTTTATTTTTACTATTAAACTAACTAGCTGCAAATTTTTGTCAAAGATATTCAAAATAATGAAGTCGCAAATGGCAGTTGTTTGGATGTCTTTCATGCATCTTGTATGTTTTTTTATTTAATTCAAAATATTATATGGTTTAATATATTTTCATGTGTTGCAGAGAAGAAACTTCTCGAATATGGGAAGAAAAAAAGGAGCAGTGGATGTTAGAATTGATTGCCTGGGATGAAATAATGAATAAAGTATGTATATTTTTTTATTTGCAATATTTGTTTCTATGAAAAAAATTGTGCTTGTTTTTTTTTAAAAATAAGAAACTTATTTTTTTAATGAAAATTTAGTTTTAAATTAATAATTGCAATGATTTTTGCATTGTTTTATCTAATTGAATGTTTATCTATCAATCCTCTGAGAAGAAATATGTTTCTTTTGTATCTCTGTAACTTTTATGTATTGTGTGAAATAAAGGTTTTATCTAAGTTATAAGCTAGTGTACACAGGATTGCCACTCTACAGGGAGAACAGGGAAAACCTGGAAAAATGCAGGAAATTTCAGGTTTTTCCATACAAACTAGGAAAATACAGGGAATTTTATTTCTTATCTTCTTCTCTTGAAAGTGGTGACCACTCAATGCATAATCTGTGGGGTATTTAAGGATGACATTTCAGCTATACTTAATTATTTCATTTACCATAGCATTATTTAGGTGTGCTCTGCTGTTCCCTTTTTTTCTTTAAGTTTTACCAGCATTTAAAACTAGTATAGTTAGCCGAATATAGCTCACTTAAGAGCACAGTGATTGTGTGTTTAACCCACTGGCGGTTAAGCAAATGGGCAAAATTAGGAGAATGTTTCTCCCCAATATATTATTTTCCTGTCTAATAACATGGAAAAACTGGGGGGGGGGTAGGCAGAAAGTACTGCAGGTTATAATATGATTTTTTACATGCAGGAACATTCCACTGTATTTTAATATGTATAGTATGGGTAAATTACTCAATTCTGAGAAAGCAATATTTTGTAAACATGCACATAAAAAATGTAAGCAACAGCATAAAAATTAATGTACCAATTTCAACTAAAATATTTTCTAAACATTTTTTAATAAGTATGGCCATTATACTAACCTTCTTGCATACCTACTTTAGATTAAATTAGCATATATTTCCTTTCTACTTTGCAACTCTATTTGATATAATTATTGAATAAAACAGGAGATTCATTTGAATTATTCATTCTATTGCAGCTTATTAAATCTCTGGTGAGTCAAATGAAAGAAAAAATTGACTTAATTGAAAGTGAGGAGAAGAGGCTGATCAACCTAAAAGAAAACCTCTTAGAAGAGATAGACAAAATAAATCTGCAAACCAAAGATAGCTGCATGACTCTAGAAAGTAAACACCGATATTACGTCGACCAAGTGGATAAATTAGTAAGTTAAAATATAAACAAATTTTTTTTTGCATTGTTCTATAACTCTGTAGGAAAAAGGTGGATGATGCATACTGGAATATTTCTGTCTTTTGTGGTGGTCATTCTGCTTTATCTGGAAGAAAGATTTATGTTTGACACTATCATTTTATTTCAGCATTTAACTAAAATGATGTTCTTATAATATTTCTTAATAGTAATTTTTAAATTTAGTTGAAGAATTTCGTAACGAAATTGAACCTAGCATCAATTTTAACTTGACCACAGTTGGGCACAAGCTCAAAATTGGCTCAATAAGAACGTGCACCGAATTACCAATATTGGGATGTCTAGATTTTTTAATATTGGTCCTAGAATGACCTATGTAGGGCTTACATTTGCCAATATAGAACCTATATTGGCTAAATAATAGAAATAAATTAACGGGTGAATCCGGCAATTCTATACAGAACCAATATTTGTTGTAAAGTGGCTGTTAAATATCAGATGAATCGGAAAATTCCATATAGGGCCAATATCTGAAGTATAACTGTCCTTTGAACAATTATTGAGCCAAGATTAGTGAATGTTGGCCCAATGAGGGCCTAAGTTATTTTGCTGCTAGGGCAGGTGCATCACATTTTAATTTTTTGTAATTCAGATTCTGCCATAAAACGAACTCATTCTAACCTATTTGAAATAAGATTGGAACCACAAATTCATTCTCATTGAGCATTTGTTTCACCTACATTTTTCAAGAGTATGATATCAATATCACTCACCTCACTATTTACGACTATTTTCCTCATAAGGCGACTGTGGCAACTTTTTTTTTGCTTGAAAAGGTTAAAAATGCAACTATTTTCTGGAAAAGGAGGCTATTGAGAGAACTTTCTGTATTCTTAGTGATATTTTTTTGGCATAAATTGGGCTGACAACCTGCAGCCCACAGGTGCTTATGAACAAAATGATTTTTTTTCCTTAAAAAATAAATGTTAAATTACAAATTTGAGTCATCACATTTTAATGCGCACAATTTGCACAGATTCCATTGTAAGTCTGTTTTGTTTCTCGATCGTCGTTTCAACGATTATAACTGCAAAATTCCGCATGATTTTAAAAAACCCAATTTTTAATACGATATTATGACGCATGAATTCCGAATTTGAATACTATATATGTACTTGCTAAATCAATTATTGATAAAAGGGATCATTTTTTTGAAAAAGTATGTTTTTTTGATGAAAAAGTATTTTCTTGAATGAATTCCAGTTATTAAAAGTATTTTCTGCAAATATACAAATTTTTTTGATATGAAAATATAATATTTGAACACTAGTGTTTAGATAAAATATTATTATATTTGCCGTCAACTTGACTAATTGGATCATGGTATATGACAATTAAGTCATGTAATAAAATTTTAGTCATATTAGTGAAAAAATTTTGTTTTTATTTAAGTAACTATTTTCATTCTTGAGGCTACTAAAGGCAACAATTTTGTTAATTTTTTTCTGTGGCTACCTGACATGGTAAACTGTAGTTAGGTGTTTTTTGGCATGCACTACACCAGGGGTTGCCAAACTTTTTTGATCATCGACCCGCATAAAAGTAATTTTCTGCTAATTAAAATAAAACTCTATTAGATACTGTGTTTGTACATTTATTTTATGATTTTGAACATTTATTAAAGTAATAGTACATAGTGTTTTATGAAAAATATATTAATGTTGAAATATAAATACCTTAATATTTATGAAATAATAAGTAATTATAAGTAAGTAGAAATTTCTTACTTTATTTTNTGCTCGTTTTTTTCTGTGGCTACCTGACATGGTAAACTGTAGTTTGGTGTTTTTTGGCATGCACTACACAGTGGTGCCACTTTTCTGTCCTGAGATCAGTCTTGAGAAAAGATTTGTATTCCATCTTCCAATGAAAACAATGTTATTTTTCTTACTTATTGTAGTGTGTCTACCACTACAAAAATACAATTCCAATTCACTACTATATAAGGCTTTTTAACTCAATCCTATTTTGGGGTACCTTTTCATAGATGAAGGTTGACATTGTCTATAACTACTATCCCCACATTAGTGTTCTTCAGACATGATGTGAACCCACCTACCTCGACAGAAACTCCCACTTCAATTTGAATGCACTTACTTCGATGGATGATCTTCGTTAAACAGCTGACTCGCTGCTTGTGACTGTGACATTATCGTTGCTTCACAGTCGCGTTTACGCACAACGTCCTCCTATATATATACACTTTACTGCTAATGGTGACTCAGGAGCGACCACGACTGTGAACTCAATACAGCTCTCACGACCAGCATTTAAAAGTACAGTGATCTTAATACAACTCTCCTGGCTTCTCACAAAACAGCAATGAATCAATTAGTGGTACCCGTACATCGAATTCTATCACAGCTCTAAATCTGGTGGGGGAGTTCAGTAGTGTGTCTACCACTACAAAAATATAATTCCAATTCACTAGTATATAAGACATGTTAACTCATTTCTATGTTGGGGTACCTTTTCATAGATGAGGGTTGACATTGTTGATAACTACTATCCCCACAATTATGATAAAATGATTATATCTGATTTCTTAACACAATGAAGGAATAGGACTGCCTGAACATCTGCTTTTGTATTCAAAATTCATATTGTGAAATCCACATCTGCTTGAGTTTGCATCTTTTTTCTGAGAGGTTGAGTTGTTCGATGAAGTTAATACATGATTATTTTTTAAAAAATGGAATTCATGAAAATGCGAAAAATATTCTGATGAAGTGGAAAATGTGTAGAGATATGAATAGCTCCAAGGAAAAATTAGTGATGTAATTCTGAGATTAACATAAAAAGATATATGAGGTTAGCAGTTATTTTTATTTTGTTTGCAGTAAAATAAAGACTATAAATGTTTTTTTTTATCGAAAAATTATCTAGTCATTGATATAATATTGGGCAATTTTAAAACTCTCACGCAAATTGAACTATAAGCATACCTGCCAATTCTCCTGATTTTTAACGACGACTCGTGTATCTTACGACTATCGCCTGTTTACCCGTATGTTCTGAAATTTCTCTCTATTTGTAGGATAAATTTTTAAAACGAAATTGTTTGGTAATAAAATGTCCGCTAATGGCAAAAATACTTCTCTTATTCCTCAGCCAATAGTGTTATTGCCAGCACTGCTGTATGTTGAGTGTTTAAGTACCCCTTGCAGTCTGGCTAACTGAGGGAGGTTATCGTGGTCTTCCTCTCCATGTAACGCAAGTGCGGATTAGTTTCATCAAAAACGTCCTTCACAAAGGCAAATTTCTGATATTGATCCAGGAGTTCCCTTGTCTTCTGGATTGGGTTCAAAATTACAAGGCTGTGAAGTTGAACTTAAGTAGCCGTAGACCCAAAATTTAGTCAGCTGTTTAACAACAGTTATAAAATAATTAGTAATTAGTTACAACAATTATTATTTTTTTTTTCAATGGCAGGCACTGAATTTGAATCTTTGCCTATACTATGCCAGAAATGTTGCTCTTTTCGCGTTACCCAGTGGGCACCTGTGAACCAAAGTCACGGAGGCGAGCAACACTGCCCACGCCACACTACCACAAACCCGTTTATAGGGTGGGCCACATTCACACATCATACACACACACAACAGAGGACAGCACAAAGAGAGAGAGAAACATCCATGCCCAGAGCGGGATTCGAACCCGCAGCCTATGGCTTCGCAGTCAGGCACGCTAACCGCTCGGCCACCTGGCCGGCGTTACAACAATTATAAATAATAAGTAATGGTTTGAAAAATTTTCTTCAGATTAAGATTTATATACTTATTTTTCGCTAAATGTAAGTGCTTATATTATTTCCAATTTGAACAGGGAAAACCTGAAAAATACAGGGAATTTTAAAATCACCTAAAATGCAGGGAATTTCGATTTTTTCTTCACGAACTGGGAAAATACAGGGAATTTTGTTTCTTACTTTTATCTTTTAAAAAATGGCTCAAAGTGTAATCTATGGGATATTTAACCATGGTGTTTCAGCTATACTAAACTATTTCATTCACTATAGCATTATTTAAGTTTGTTCATCTGTTCATCATCAGCAATTAAAACTAATAAATATAGTTAGTCTAATATAGCTCACGCAAGAGCACAGTAATTATTGTTTCCTTTCAATATATTGTGTGTAATATGTACAGGGAAAACACGGGGAATTTTTTTTTCAGGTTTGAGTATCAACCCTGTGTTTAGGTTTCTGCTCGAGGTATCAGCGAGAGAAAGGGAATCTTTTTCTTCAATCTACTACGTTAGCCCTACAGGGACGAGAAACTACCCTCCCTGAAATACACTATGCTTGTTTCCATAGAAGCAGATGGCCTCAGGCTTGGGGGGGGGGGAGTTTTTACTGTAGACAAATTATGCAACCCAGAGTTCATGTTTCCAACCACGAACAAAAGTGAACCCCGGGCAAATCATGAGAAACACCCCCACACCATTATGCATCCACCACCATAACAACCGGATACTTTTAACCAGATAGTATATTATTAATCACAAAATGGTTTTTTCATAAGATGACAGGACACCTGTAATCACCTTCATTCAAAACTATTTCATAAATAAAATTTCAATTTATTTATGTTTTTTTTTTAACAGAATGAAGAATTTCAATCAAAAAGTAACAAAAGGCCAGTTGATACCTAGAATTCTGGGGCAAGCATCATACTGACATTGGATCATATTGAAGCAAACTGTTTATTTTCTTACATTATTATTATTACATCTGGTCAAAATTCTTTTTCTGTTTATTTCATTGTACTTTTCATTAAATATTTATTCAAATTATTGCTCAGTAATTGTTGATTATTAAAATTTGCAAATTTTTTATTAATATATAAAGAATTTTTCCTATTTAATTTCGAAAGATTTTATTTTATAACCGACATTTAACAGCCGATCCAACTTTGCATTTACGACTACCAATGTTCAACTCCGTAGCTCAACAAGGGAACTCCTGGATCAAGTATTGAATAAATTTGCCTTCGGGGAGGACTTTTTAATAGAACTAAACCGCATTTGTGTTACATGGAAAGGAAAACCTCACACTTAGCCTAACGGTAGGGGGGCTCTAACCCATGATCATATTACCACTGAGGATATTTTTCGTCAGCACTCTGGTCGATGCGAGCCAGGTGCCGAATTCGTATCGACCAGCCATCACAGCTAAGTTACTATTGATTTAAATTTTTTTTTTCACTTTATAACCGTCATTGAACAGCTGACCCACTTTTGGGTTTACGACTACCAATGTTTCGACTTGTCATTTTGAACCCAATCCAGAAGACAGGTAAACTCCTGGATCAAGCATAGGAAGAAATTTGTCGTTGTGGAGGACTTCTTATGGCTGAACTTATCCGCATTTGCGTTACATGGAGAAGAAGACCTCCCACAGTTAACCTGCGGGTAAGGGGACTCTAGCCCATGATTCGTCTATCACTGAGGTTATTTCACGTCAACCCTGTGGTCGGTGCGAGACGGATGCAGAATTCGTATCTTCTAGTCATGGCAGCGATTCGAACCCTCGTTCACCTCACTAGAAAGTTAACGCTCTATCCCCTTTGAATTTTATTTTATAACCGTCGTTGAACAGGTAACCCAATACTGGGTTTACAACAACTAATGTTCAACTCCGTAGCCTTGTCATTTTGAACCAATCCAGAAGACAAGGAAACTCCTGGATCAGTACCCCCAGAGGTATTGATTTGTTATGGGAGTATGGGGGATTTTGCGACTCGACAGATTTGACGTGCATCAGTCACCATTTACTACACGAGGAGTCTTCGGGGGATCGAACCCACGACCTCTTGGACATGGGCTCAGTGCCCATGCTGTGACTTTCGGTATATTAAAAATATAGTTGAACATATTATAGCTCCGCTAAATTTAAATTCGGCCCTGTTAGGAAGACAGTTAGTTGGATTCTCAACTGGAATGTGGACCCATGCCGACTACGCCCTTGAGGATCCATGGCATGAACAACCTGATCGACGTATTTGTCGTACTCGTAATGAAATAAAGGTCGTATGTAAGAGTGGACGTTATCAGCAAGGACACATGCGTGTGCCTTTCACAATTATAAGTCCACTCAAGGTATGCCACGAAAGCATTCCCCAGACCATAATGCTCCCTCCCCTAACTTCTATCCTTTCGGTAATTGTTAAAGGATATTAACTTTTAGACATTTCATACCACGCGCGCCCACATTCATCTGTCCAAAGGAGCATAAAAACGTGATTTTTCAACAAAAAAACTCCTGCCACTGAGTGGACGCCCAGTTGTCGTACTGGTGAGCAAATTCTAGCCTTAATCGCCGATGAAACAGCAGTCATAAGTGCATAGAGTTTTAAAAGATGCTTATTTTCGTTTTTTAAAAGCCCTTAAAGGTACTTTTTTCATTGGATGTTTTTAAAATGTGCTTAATTTTCCCTCTTCGAAAATGAACTTTTTTTTTTAACATGTCAATTTTTAACACGTATTATGCAAAAGCCTGCTTTTCACATTGTTATTCTATTCAACGTTTTCACAATTCATTCAACCACTGGCTATTTCGGCTCACATTTGTTCATAGCGCATGAAAGCTCCAATCATTCTACATTTTTGATGAAATACTTGCGAGTCCACATGTGCATCTACTGAGCTGAAATCTGTGAGATTATTGCATTCTTATGTGCAACTCTGCTGCATTTTGCAATATATTCTCCATTTCAGGCTTCATTTTCCACCCTCTGATATCCAAGTGAAAAATCTCTTGATCTTTTTATGGGGGCTAATATATTCAGGAAAAGAGTTCACGAAGAAAAGATCAGAAACTACTTATTTTATCATGATCATGCAAAGTCTTTGAAAATTATTTTGCCTTTTGTTAATGTATATGATACCGGCAAAGTATGAAGTCCGGCATTGTATGCAGGTAGAATGCCTAAAATTAGCCGGTAAAGTATGAAATGATTTATATTTCACACATTGCCTAGACATTCTATAGAATGCCAAATGAGAAACCGGCAAAGTATAAAATACATCTCAGATACTGACCGAAATCTGGAGAGTCGACTTTCACCGGTGAATGTCAACAATCACATAGTCTCTTAGGTGAATGTCCGAAATATTTATTACATCCGATTTGATATTAATTTATTCGCGGATATAATTACATTTATTCGATATTTTACTACTTACTGACGATAGATTAGAAGATAAATACCGGGCAAATGTAGATCGGCAGTGGCACTGAACCTTAAAAAACATCAGTGTAGAATATACCGGGCAAATGTATACGAGGCAATGGCACTGAACCTTAAAAAAAACATCAGTGTAGGGTATACCGGGCAATGGCACTTGACCTTAAATTACCAGTGTAGGGTATACCGGGCAAATGTATATTGGGCAGTGGCACTGAACCTTAAAAGAACATCGGTGTAGGATATACTGGTCAATGGCACTTGAACCTTAAAAACATCAGTGTAGGGTATACCGGGCAGGGGCACTGAACCCTAAAAAATCTTCAGTGTAGGATATACCCGGCAGTGGCACTTAACTAGACCTAGTATATATTTCGGACATTTACCAATGGTCTAGTTAAGTGCCACTGCCCGGTATATATTTACCCAATACTCCAAACACTGATGTTTCTTCTAATCTATCGTCAGTAAGTATTAAAATATCGAATAAATGTAATTATATCCACGAATAAATTAATATCAAATCGGATGTAATAAATATTTCGGACATTCACCAAAGCGACTATGTGATTGTCAACATTCACCGGTGAAAGTCAACAATCACCTTTCACTCTTCTAAACAAAGAATNGTCATTCTATAGAATGCTTAGGCATTATATACAATGCCTAGGGAAAGTATGTAATAATACTTACATTTCATACCATGCCTAAAAACATCCGGCATTCTATACAATGCCGGCGTTTCTTACTTTGCCGGTAACATATATAGTGCTTAAAAATATTTTTTGTTCAAAGATTTGGCTACGCACTCTGATATACCTGGCATCTACTGCGGAAACCCATACGCTGCAACCGTCGTTGAGGAGACACATGAGTTCTGTAACGTATCATAAGCTATATCAAGAACTATTCAGTTTTTCTTTTAAATAAAAACTTTTATTAACAAACACAAACATTAAGAAATATGCAATACCCGTAACGGGATAGTGAAAACATCATAAACAACTGGAAAACCCGTAACGGGATATAAGGAAACTCAAATTCCACAATAAAACTAATCTAAAAAGAATCAACAACTCTGTCGTTCTAAATATTGACTTCTAATTTAATCGTCTGCTTTTATTTTAAGTTTATCTCTTTATGCGTTTACTTTATTTTAATTATGATTTTGCAAACCCATTATTTCTTTAATATTTTTAGACTTTACAATCGTCTGCTTTTATAAATTCTTTAATATTTTTAAACTTTACAGTTCACTTGAGTGGTCATTTACTTACCGGTTACTCGTCTGTTCACCCCTGTTATATATGGCCCGTGGGGCACCCACCACGTAGCTGATTTTAGATAACACAGTACAGTACGGTATATTTTTACAGGGCGCCACGCGAATAGTTTACAAAATTAGCCGCTTCGGAAATACTAACACCTTTGGTCCGAAAGCCGTTGATTATACACTTTTGTCGGATAAATCATTACATCACTGATTGGCAGACGAAATGGGCTACAGGTGGCGTAGAGCAGAACTCTCTACCTATGTCAACACTTCGCATGCTTTCACCATTAGTCATAGGAGAAGGAAGTATATAATTAATGTAATAATTCTATGTAAGTTTCTGTCTTGATTTCCAGATGGATTAAAAACTTTTCAGTTTAGAAACTCTATGGAGCTGAAAACTACATTGAATTTCGTAGAAATTAAAAAAAAAAAAATTTGACAATTGAATACGAAAAATGGAAAAGAAAGTGGAAAATGTTGTAGTTCATTTCTATACAACTGAGAAGAGAGGGAAAGGGGTGGGTCACGACATGGAACCGATATTCTCCCCAGATGGCGTGTTTGAGCGTTGTGATCGTGAATTGCAATGATTTCCTCGAACGCCCTTTATATACCTTCCTAGGCAATGTGCTGCCTTCTATGGTTGGTTATTTCAAATTCACGTCGAAGGTCGATGGCAGTCACATTAATGTGACTGGACTATGTAATATGTAGAGTATACTTAGCTTTTTTTTATTTTTTTTTTTTTATTTCAATTAGTATCTACTGCCAAAATTAATTTGGCAATTTCTTACTCCTCTCTTATACGAATAAGTAACAGTTTTCCATTCATTTTGATGTAGTTTATTTCTATCATTTTGATAAGTATTTATTACCAAAATCAATTAAACATCATTGGTGTCAATTATATTATGGTGATTTTCAACGCTTCTCCTAAATAAATTAAAAACATTTTCCCGTTAATTTTGCTTTTTAGTTCGGAGCTTTTTTTCATTTCAATTTGTACCTATTTTATTTTATAACCGTCGTTGAACAGCCGACCTAGTTTTACTGGTTTACGACTACTAAAGTTTAATTCCGTAGTCTTGTCATTTTGAACCCGATCCCGAAGACAATGGAACTCCTGGATCAAGTATTGGGAGAAAATGTACCTTCGTGGAGGACTTTTTGATGGAACTAAACGTTACATGAAGAGGAAGACCACGACAACCTTCCATGGTTAGCCAGACGGCAAAGGGACTCTAACCCATGATCTGTCTACCACAGAGGATATTTCATGTCAGCACTGTGGTGGGTGCAAGCCGGTTGCGGATTCGTATCGACCAGCCATCGCTGGGA